GGTGAGATGGGGGGCAGCCTGGGCTGCCACCGCTCCATCCCCCGCGACCCGGCGGACCTGTGCCACAGCCGCAAGTTCAGCGCGGCATGCAACTTCAGCAACATCCTCGTCAACCAGGAGAGGCTCAACATCAACACGGCCACGGAGGAGGAGCTGATGACCCTCCCCGGGGTCACCCGGGTGGTGGCCCAGAACATCGTGGAGTACCGGGAGTACATCGGTGGCTTCAAGAAAGTGGAGGACCTGGCGCTGGTGAGCGGAGTGGGGGCGGCCAAGCTGGAGCAGGTGAAGTTCGAGATCTGCGTGAGCAGCAAGGGCAGCTCGGCGCAGCACTCCCCCAGCTCCCTGCGCAAGGACCTGGCCTCTGAGCACCACCTCTCTGCCACCAAGATCAACATCAACACCGCCACCCCAGCCCAGCTCATGAGCATCCGCGGCATCACCGAGAAGATCGCCAACAGCATTGTGGACTACCGTAAAGAGCACGGGCCCTTCAAAAGTATTGAGGACCTGGTGAGGATGGACTGCATCAATTCCTCCTTTCTGGACAAAATCAGGCATCAGATTTTTGCAGAGCGGTCCCGGCCCCCTTCAACGAACACCAATGGTGGCCTCAACTTCACTGCCAAGCCTCACCCCAGCCCCACTTCTCTGAGCCTCCAGAGCGAGGACTTGGACTTTCCTCCTGGGGGTCCAACCCAGATCATATCCACTCGCCCCTCTGTGGAGATGTTCGGGGGGGTGAGAGACGGCAGACCTGTCCTGAGGGTGGCCACCTGGAATCTGCAAAGCTGCTCCAGCGAGAAAGCTAACAACCCAGGCGTGCGAGAGGTCGTGTGCATGACGCTGCTGGAGAACAGGTAAGAGGAAGCACCTGGCCTGTAGGCCTAGCTCCATGCAGGGTTGTGGGTTAATGCCTTTGTGGTTTGGGCACTCTAGAGTCCCGTTGTGATCCTAGTAGGACTCACCTTTCCTGGGATTATTAAATGTTTCCCACTTCTTGCGCGGAACCCTGGTTGAGTCTTAACGCTGGGACTGTAGTGACTCTCCCTTGATAAAGCCACTATAGCCTGTAAAGCTGGTAGACCTCCTGCGGAGGATGTGTACACATCTCTGCACGGGGAGGACTGAGCTGTTATGGTTGGTCACCTTGGGCCTGTTAATGGTTGGTCAAGGATTGTTTCTCTGTCAAGAGCCTTTTGAACAAGTCATGGAGGACTGTCTTTCCTGCCAGAAGCTGGGGGGGAATTGCAGGGGAAGGGCTGCTCTCTATGTACCCTGTTTCTTACGGTGTTTCCCAGAGCCTCTTACTGCTACTTTGGGAGGCGGGATGCAGCGCTACGTCCGCCTCTTTTGGAGCTGCCAAGCTGACACCTGCCAGTGCCTCTTCTCCAGAAAGTCTTTTTTGGGTTGTGATCTCTGTAATGTCAGCATTAGGGCTGTAGCTCTCCCTCGGATCCACTCCTCAAATCAAAAAGGCTTGAGAGCACAGTCAGGATGATTTGGGCTGTGTAACGAGCATGGAATGCCACGGTGTGTCCCACAAGGGTGACCACCGCTCATTAATGAGCGGTCATGGGGCATCGACTGAGCTGGAGGGACCGCTCCTCCTTGGGGGGGCGAGATGTGGGGGGGCTGCTGCACCAGGCCAGCCCCTGATTTCACTGAGCTAGTGGGCGTGGAGCAAGGTCTGTTTGTGGTGTGGTCAAGTGGGATGATGCTTCTGGTGTTAATGACTGAGAAGCTGAGAGTTGGGTTGGTTTGTTGTTTGTTTTTTTTTTTTGGAGTAAGGTATTCAGGCAATGGTGCTGGTGATGTCTCTCTTGCTAAACTTTCTGCTTGATACAGAAATGTAAGAATGCAATAAGGATTTAGAAATAACTCTCGCCCTTTCCTTGCCATGTGTGAAATCTGTCCCAGCTGGTCTGGCACTTAGTTTACAGCATTGGGAAACTTAACTTTTCTTTCAAGCTTCTATTCAACCTTCCAGCTGGAAATGAATAGGGGCAGGGGACTCTTTGACTTCTGCAAAAGGGATATTGTGGGGAGGGGAAGGTGCTGATGAACCATTAGCTGCGGCAGTGCCAAGAGTTCTGTTCCTTTTCCAGTAAAATGCTGAATAACGGCCCTTGTCGGTGCGGTTGCGGAGGTCGGGCACGCGAGAAGGACGGTGACAGTGATGTGACGTCCTGCGCTGTGGTACAGTATTTGTGGTCAGGGATACCTCTGCTGTGCACTGCTTGGGAGCCTGATGCTCCCGCGTAGGAAACATCTGTCATCTCGCAGCTGTCGCTGTTTGATAGCCAAAATGGAGATGATAACCCGGCGGGGGTGTTCAGATGTTATGCTGATGGCTTCAGCCTAACATCTTTCAGCATTCCTCGACTGTTCTGCTAGTTCAGGTATCCTGTGCTTCCCTCTTTGCCACCGCTCTCGTTCTTTCGTGAGCAGTTGGTTGGCTGGAGCAGACCTTAGGATAGAGTCTGGTGGGGTTGGGCGTCAGGGTGGGGGGCAGAGGCAGACAGACCTGCTGAGAAAGGAAACATCTCTGATTATCACTAGTTGCAGGATTATTCTAATAATCCAGTTTTGGATGAAAAGTGACTTTGGTGATTTATTTTTATTTATTTGCATATATAATTTTTTTTTTTTTTGAGGACCTCATCCAGTAAAGTGTTAACTGTCTGTCACTTCTGCATCTTCAGCATTCTGAGGCGGGGGGGGGAACCAGAACAGTCCACCTATTAAAAAAGCTAGTTAAAGTGAGTTATAAAATAAGCCAGCATTAGCCCAAGCTGGCCACTGTGTATACAGGGTGTGGCCCTAGCAGTTTGTTTTATTTTTGCTCTTAAGCTGCATGGTACTTTGCTTCCATCCACCTTACCAAACAGGTACTCAGTTGTTCTGGGTGGTGTGAAAGGTCTCTCTGGTACTTTGAAGTTTAAAAGGAGCCTGATATAAGTACTTGTTTTTGTTCTGTTTTATTGCACGTATATGTGCCATCGATCACACTGGGAGAGTACGGTGCAATTGTTTTCTGTACTTGATCCTAGTTGTGATAAGATGAGAAGCTGGAAAGAAATGAGAGCAATGTGCATTCACAGACAAGCCTGAAAAACTTCCCTGGGAAAATAAATGTGGGAACAGAAAAAAAAATCAACACGATGCAGGAAAAAAAGTATACGTTGGGAAAAGTCACACTCAGCACCTCAGGGAGGAATTTCCTCTTGCTTGCGCTAGCATTGCTGAGGTGAGTGGAGCTTTGCAGCTGTAAAACGGCCTCAGCTGAGGCCAGGAACTGCCTTCTTTCTGCGTGTAAACTCCTTGGTCTCCCTCCCGCCTCCGGTCCTGTACCCTGGGAACTGATAAAATACCTTGCAAACTAGTCTTTGCTCAGATAAATCAACTTTAGTGGATAATCAGCTGGAGAAATCGATCTCTTGCTTCTGCAAGAAAGAATCCACCACTACATGGGGCTCACCAGCACTCCAGCCTCCTGAAATCCACGGGTGCGTTTTCAAGGCGCTCTGTGTGCTCAGTGGATGTTCCACATGTGTTGCTGAAGTCTCCAGCTGTGACCCAAGTTGTTGCCTGGCAGATCTGAAGGCCATTTAGTGCAACGGTAGGCAGATGCTCTCACAAGCTATGCTGACGGACACCTGCTTGCTGATGTGCTTCATGCACAGCCGCCCTCACATACGTAAGCGTGCTCCTGCATGCTGGTCCCTCGTAGGCTGGGGTGGTCTCAGGAACTGGAGTACTGCCTTGCTTGCAGTACTCCTGTTGGAGGACCTGCCTCAGCTAGCTTTTTGAGTCCAGGAATAAAACATAAGGAGCCAAGAAGACTGTATTAAAACTGTGTAAAGAGCAGTAAAGAATCTTAATCTGAGATCTGGGGGACTTTCATGCCAGTTGAAAGGCTGGTTTGGGGTTTGTTTTTGTTTTCCTGTCCACCTCACAGCAAGTAGCTTTGAGACCCCTTGGGCTTGTTCTTTCAAACATTAACAACTGGGAAAATTACTACTCAATTCCAGGTGAGGCCAGAAGATGAAGGTGCTCCTGTCTTCCAGCCCTGCATAACCTTTGCACTGAGGGAAGAGTTGTGTGGGAAGGAAAGAGGGCCATGCCTTCATTCAAAACAAACAACAAGCAATAAAATGTTATCATGTAGAGTAACCTGCTGAAGAGCGGAGGGGAAAAAACCAACCCAAAACCTTCACACTCATGCCCAGAAGTGCTAAATTTCTGAAGAGCAGCAAATGGAATGTATACCAAATCAGTAAGCATGACTACTACTGCTAAGCTATTTTGAAATTCATTGCCGCAGTACAAAAATAATGAAATACAGCAAGGTCCTCACCCTGTTTCTCATATTACAAGGATCTATGTTTATCACAGTGTTTGGAGTGGAGGAACGAGGTGTTTTCATTCAGAGGACTAGAGGGTAATTTTAGAAGAGATTAACATGATGAATGTGGAGGCGAGCGTGACACATAATTGGATTAATGTACCAAATGTGGGGTGAATTTGCCCAAACCTGCAACATTTCTTGCAGGTGTGGTTTGGCAAATCTGGAATTTTTTGACAGGGGGTCAGAGCTGGCCTGTCTCTGAGGATGCAGGTCATCCCCCTCCAGCTGATGTCCATGTCCTTCCCACTCTTGGGGGGATGAAGAAACCAACAGATTCTTCTTACCAAAAAAAGGAAAAATGTAGGGTTAGGGTGGCATGATCGAAAGGGCAAGCAAGTTCAGGTCAAAGGCAGCAAGTGTTTTCATGGGGAGGAGAAGTAGCCCCAGCAGAGATGTTTCCTCTGGCCAAGGGCGGTGGAGGTACCCCAGAGCTGTCCCGTACCCCACGGCCGTAGGGAAGGGCCCGCTTTCCACTCCTCATCCATACCTGCTCAGGCCTGTCCCTCCTGGCCATAAACTGAGCTCGTGACTCCCACAACACCTCGTGACCGCCCTCTCTGGCTGTTATGTGCTGGGGCGCCTGCTGGATGACCATATCAAGAAGCGTGACGCAGGCATGTGCGACACCGACCGATAACACAGAGCATGCTAAAGGTGCATCCTCTAGTTTAATTGCTTGCTTCAAAGTTTGCTAGTAGCCAAGGGCAGCCACCAGTTGTGCACCTTTCCCAGCATGGTTTGCAGTGGAGGTTGTCCAGCTGATTTTTGTTACACTTTATAATACTGAGCAGTAACTTTGTGAAGACCTCTTAATTATTTTTTTCCATCTTGTAAGAATACTTTGCAGTTGAGTAAATGAAAATTGGTAGAGGATCCAAGGCCAGAACTTGCACACACACTCTCTCTCTCTCTCTCTCTCACAAAAAACAAGGGTGGTGGTGGTGCATAGCAGGATGATGGTGGGGTACCAAGGTTGAGGCTCAGGTCCATGGAGCCCAGCTCAGTTTCCTTCCAGTTGTCAAGCAGTTCAGGCTGCTCTTTCCTGCTGCTGCTTGCTTTGGTCAGCTTCTTGGTACAGTTGCATCTTCTAGATGCAAAAACTTAAGTAATAAAGCCTTAACACCTGTTGCAAAAATCACAGAACCATAGAAAAGCCCAGGTTGGAAGGGGCCTCAAAAGATCATCTGGCCCAATGTTTCATAGGAAAGAGAGCCTAGATGAGATTATCTACCACCCTGTCCAGTCGCACCTTGAAAACCTCCAGTGGTGTGGAGGGCACTTCTGCATCCCTGGGATATTGTTCCAGTGATTGACTGTTCTTACTGTAAAAAATTTCTTTCCTACATGTCTGTAGAGTAACAAATACAAGTACCAATATAAGGTTTGTACTTAGCACTGATGATTTTATTTTTTTTTTTTTTTTTTACCTCTGCTTAGTTCCTTAGGCAGCAAG